GGCAATTCGAAGAACGTATTAGATGTCCGTGGTTCAAACTGCCTTTAAATTTTATAATAGGCTTCTTTAATTCTTCAGAATAACAGAAAACGAGGTTTACAAGGCAGTTAAGCAATTAAAGAACAACAAGAGTTCGGGTTTTAACGGCATTAGCTATGAAATGATTAAAGCGTCATACTCAGTTTTAAATAATGTTATCTGTAAAATGTTTAACATATTACTGAGCAAAACAGTTTTCCCTGAAAAATGGAATATTTCATCAATCGTTACGTTATTTAAGAAAGGAACGACGAAAGACCCTGGAAATTACAGAGGTATTTTTATTTCTGATTGCTTTGGCAAACTATTTTCAATAATTTTGTATAATAGACTTTACGCCTTTGTACATGACAGAAAAATAATATCGGAAAATCAAGCCGGTTTCACAAAGAAAGCACGAACAACTGACCACATGTTCATAATACGAACCCTCGTGGATAAATATGTACTAAGTGAAAAAGGGAATATATATATGTGTTTTGTTGATTTGAGGAAAGCTTTCGATACGGTATGGCATGATGGATTATTTTTGAAACTTTTGCAATCAGGTGTAAACGGTTTATTCTATAAAATGATAAAACATATATATTCACAATCAAAAGCAAGAGTCAGACTAGATAATGAGGGTTTATTTACCAATGAATTTGACTGTAACAAGGGAATAAAACAGGGGGACCCCCTAAGTCCTCTTCTATTTAATATATATATAAATGACATTATTAAAACATTAGATCTCAAAACAGACCCATTATTAAATAATAAGCGAATTGGAAGCCTCCTTTTTGCTGATGACTTAGTAATTATCGCATCCTCAAAAGATGAAATGCAAACCAAATTGGACAAATTAGAAAAATACTGTGAAGAATGGCACTTAAATATCAACACTGATAAAACCAAAATTATGGTAATGAATAAAAATGGTAGACTTATTGATAATCACTTCTTTATAGGAAATTACAAAATAGAATCTGTTTCACGATACATTTACCTGGGAATGGAATTAAGCATAAGTGGGTCAATGAGACCTGCAGCCCAGCATATCAAAGACAAAGCTGAAAAGGCAAAATTTAAATTATTAAGTCTAATTTCTAATGGTAATATGAAACCATCATTATGCTTAAAACTATTTGATCAACTCATAAAGCCCATATGCCTCTATGGATCTGATATATGGGGTACGGGTATCTTAAACTCGAGTAAAATTAAAAAAGACCCACAATGGGCATTAGAAAAGGGATATGATGGAATAACATTTGAATCTCTTCATATATCATTTATGAAATCGATACTCGGTGTTAACAGAAAGGCCAGTAATGACGCTACACGAGGCGATTTAGGTAGGTTTCCACTATTTATTTCTTTGTTTTATCAACAAATGAAATATCTTAATCATATTAACAATAAAGGAACCGACTCGCTTCTACGTGAAGCCCTTGAGGTAAATAAACAACTGACAGATATGAATAAACAATCATGGCTCACGCACATCAATGATGTACTTAAATATATTTACAATGGTACTTCACCAAACTATTTAAACTTAAAACCAAGAGAAATTAAGAAATTACTGGAAAATAGATACATACAATTTTGGGAAACTAAAATAAAATCAAATAATGGTAAATTGAGGTTTTATAAGATAATAAAAGCAAAATGGAACAAGGAACCCTACTTGGATTTAATCAAAAATGAAATAGACAGAAATAACTTGACAAAGCTAAGAATTAGCGCACATAAATTAGAAATCGAAACAGGTCGTTACACAAAACCAATTACCCCTATTGAAGAAAGAAAATGTTTAATGTGTAACAAGAAAACCGGTTCAGAATGTCATTACCTATTAGAATGCAATAAGTTAAAAGATGTTCGGTCAAGTTACATGGATAAAATAAAAAAACACTGTCAAAATTTAGAAAACATGAATAACGTGGAACATAAATTAATGTTTCTATTTAATTCAGAGGGAATAATATTAAATATACTAGCAAAATATATATCTAATATTTTTATCGAGAGAGAAAAAAACACGAAATGCATCCAATAAAATCTTGCAATGATCAAGCACCCTTTGATTAGTTAATATACTATATAGATAATTAGTTAAGCTTTTTCATTTTTTTCTGTTTAAGCTGTACACTTTGCCCAAATGTGGGATACAAGTATAATAAAGCTCATAATAATATGTTTATTTAACTTATACGATGCCATATACGATAAATGTTGCGCCCTCTTATGCGGCCATACACAATAGATTTTCACCCTCCTCTTATACGATAACCCTATACACCCCCCCATGAAAGCGAAAGAGAGTAACCGGGCACGAAAAGAAAAATGGAAAAATATAAATGCGACGCCTGAATTATCCCACCGTTTGGTAAGTCATGTGAGGTATAACTTCAAATACAAAGAGTAAAGATATATAAAACATCCATGACTTGATATTAAGAGGTAACATGCGACAAATAAACATTATATTAAGTCATTAGTCAAGTAGTCGGGCCCCCGGCTCAGATTTCGAAACGGGATTTTTCTCGCCGATGGATGGACCCAAATAATGCAATGAAATAGGGAGCATATTCGCATATCTGCGACCATTCATCTTACAAGTAAGGTGCTACTTTCTATATTCCTTTTAAATCAGATAAAACACACTGACAATCGATAATCTTTGCACAGTTAACGATCAAACATTGGGCTTCTTCATACTTCTGCTTTCTGATGAGCCACCTAATCTCGTCACTCACTCGATTTTTATACATGTTCCCGGGCCTGTGGGAACGATCATTCTGAACAGTGCGTTAGTGCGCTAGCGCGTTAGCGCGTAGCGCGTGTTTTCATTATAACCGCATTACTCTCTCTTCCACGGTCATCAATACTAATTTGTGCTTAATTGGCGATAAAGCAAATTGTGAACTCTCGGTCATTGTAGGCTTAGGGTATAGAAAGGGGGGTGGGGTATACGCAGTATGACTGTAAGTGCGTTCTACTTATACAGGTCTCATTATACCTAAATCCCATATGATCCCTCCCTCAATGAGATAAAAAATAAAATAAAGCTAGAGTTTATTCTCTTTATATTTATGCTCAGATAGAGATGTTTCTAAAATGAAATCTATTTGGGTTTATATAATTTACTGAAAAACATATTAAAATTTCATTCTGGCCTAAATTGCTTGAAATCTAAAATTCATCGTAATACCCACATATTCACATGATGAGAACCTATGAAAATAGTTTATTCAGAAAGTACATTTCATTGCAGTTTGCTGTTAAATACCTGCAGTCTTTCCATAACCTCTCCCCCTTCATTCTAAGAATCAGACCTTGTATTGATTTCTCAATTGAACTATGATATATTGCGTCTAAGAATATGTACTCTATAGCTTGATTTTATCAAATGCAATATCTGGCGTGTAAAAGGACATCTGACATTATTTAGCTAATAAAACTTCCGAATTGCTTATAATAAGATTAAGTTTAAGTGATCGATTGTCTATATCAGGTCACTGTGTTCCCTTCCCCAATACTGTGAGCCATCCATCTCTGCCTTAATTTTTCTTAGTAACTTTTTCTGTTATATTAAGCTTTAAGATTTTACAAAAATTCAGTGATAATTAGCTAATTACAGATACGCCTGTCTTAGTGAACACCTCTCTAGTGAACACTTGCGTCGAGTGAACACTCATACTCGGCACATACACCACTGACTTATGTATAAGTTCACCTCTCTGGAGTGAACACCTTCTTTGGCTCCATAGAAGTTCACTATATACAGGTTTTACCATATTAAAAAATCAAGATTCTGCACTTATGCTACAGCATAGAATAAAAAACAAGATACATGATTAGATAAATAAAGATACATTGTGAATAATATTGTGCCTAAATATGAAAATAGCCTGAAAGTTTATCCAGCTTTCCAAACTTTGTAACAATCTGTCATGCAATTTATCTGGAAATTCTTTCAAAAGAAAAAAAGTCACGTGCCACGATATGACTGCCAAGTCATACCATCCTGAAAAGTTTAGAACAAAGAAGGCTATGTGATATCACACCATTTTTAGACATGATTACGAACATGTGTAATTCCCTCCATCGATGATAAACTTGACCCGCAACTTCCTGGTAATAGGCCCATAGACATCACTTCCTGTCTGAATGGATCAATGCTAATTGAGATTCTATCCAAATAGAAAGATCTGGAAACTCAGTCTGTAAGCCTCCTCCATGTAAATGTTACTATTCCTCAAAGTTAGCCAGAGGGACTGCTTACTTATGATTTTCAATTATTTCATAGGAACGGAAGTAGTTAAGACACTGTAGCTGCATTGAGATCCATATGTAGATCTGACTTAAGACCTGGATAAGGTCACGTGCATTGTCACAAATTGATTTTTCAAATTGCATTCTGTCAGATTATTTGGTTTTATAGGCTCAGCCTCATGCTCTAATTTGGTCTGACCTGTTTTGAAACTTTCTATATTCAAATTGTCTACCAATTATGAGCAACCTGATTGGTTTATATTATGGGATTTATTATACTACTATGAGGCTCAGAGCTTGGTTATTATTGCAGATGAAGCTATCTTTTATAAAGCAAAATCAAATTATTGAAAGGGTTTTTATAATACAGGGGATGCCATAATTACAAAATATGTAGGACAATCCAATAAAACATATCCCTGGTGACGGTATCTCTTTGTATTAATTCACAGGGTTCAAGTCTCAGTCTAATATTATATTTTTGCTGAATAATTATAAACTCATTAATCAATAATTGATACATCGAATGGCATCAAGTGCATTATTAGACAATGGTTTTCGATGGATTGTTACTTATGATTGTACCAAAATTAGGCTAACATTTTATGTGTGCCAATAACTAAAAATAACTTGAAAGGAATCTCATCAAAAAATTAGAATATTCTTAATTACTTATGTATATTTGTTTTTATTTGCAGGATTCAAGTCCTGGGATGTTGCAGCTACAGGGTGTGCCATAAATGAGGAACTCAACAATTTGGTTGCAGAGAACCCCAAAGGAGAACAGGGAGCATGTGGTAGGTAGATTTCATGAGATAGATAATGCAAAATTGCTTTAAATTTTAAAAATCATTTAAAACAATGTTCAGTTAAAAAAAATTCAAAATATGTTCCTTGGCTTGTTTGTTCTGAATTATTTAAACAGTACAAAATCATGTTCTGTTTTATTTGGCTCTTCAATGTGTTTATGTGTTTATGATGACATACAAGCATTTCCTGGTGTGTTAAAAGTTCACTTCTTGAATTTGTTTACAAGAATGTGAAAAACTGATACCCATTAGTTTGACTTTGATTCTTTACAAGAAACTATGTACACGACACTGCATGTGTGAGACTGTACATGTATGTATATTTGAGACTATATGTAAATGTGAGTAGTTATAATTTATCATAATAAACATGAGATGTACATAAGGGAGTGTATGCCTCAGACAATGTAAGCATTCAACAGACCCCAAAAATGTTTTGTGTTAATTTTCTTTTTTCGAGTTGTTCAGAAATTATAATTCTTAGTAATTCTGAGCTTGAATTGAAATATATTGGCCTTTGGGTATGGTCAAGAAAATGTGTTAGGTCATTTTACTGAAAACTGGTTAATATAGGAAAATACATTAGAGCTTTATTAGAGTCTAAATATAGGACATTGTTAATAACTGAAATATATTAAAGGTCATCCTGAAGCAAGATTAATTACATAGGGGAATAAGAAGTAAAGGCCAGTATGATGCCTTACAAAAATTTCAGAAAACAATTTCAGTCAAATTCCATTGAGATGTTCCTGTTTGCAATCTACTGTAACTTGAGTTAATTTGATGCTATTTTATGTTGCAGTTTTTTTTTTGATACATTGCGGCTATTTGATTTGGTTTATTTTCTAATTTGTCAGAATCAGACCATGTTTTATATTGACCACATTCTTGCATTTTTCACTAAATAAAGCTGCATCTTATTATTAAAGTGTGTTTGTGAGTTTAACGTTTATTTACTATTACCTTTCTAAATCATTTCAGAAGACTTATTATTAAAGCTGATCAGATAATTTTATACATGTATAAATGCCAAAAAACAGACATATAAATAACTGTAAAATTTCTCTTGAATCCAAACCTTTTAATGAGACCTGATTACCTCTTGTGTGTAATAACTAATTGTCTACCCCCCCCCCTCCTCATTGTATTTGGGGAAGGGAAATTCATAATAGGATAGGGTGTATGCATGACTAGACACTCTATTGTTATATTGAAACTCTGGGGTGTTTAGTCTGCCTTGTTAACTCGAAAGAGAATCTGATTAAGCAATGTTTAACAAGATCAGAGAATTCTATAGAGATTTTCAAGTATCCTGAAGGGACCCAGTTCCTGTTAAAATTGTCACTTTTGTCTGCCTATTCTGATGAATGGTCTTTTTCTATGATGCTTAGCTTAAATATTCAGGGATAGATGTGGGAATACATATATATTTTGAAAATTTTTAGATTTTTTATCATAAATGTAAAATTTGGGAGAAAATGGACCCCGGACCCTTAAAATAGGCCATTCTACTTAAAAAGGCCAATTCCTCATAAAAACGTTGAAATCATTATGATAAAATTTTGCAATTTCACAAGACTTTGTAATTTTGGATCTAACGTTTTCCCAATGTCTTTCACTCAATCTATTTTAACTCAATTAAGTTTTGGAAAATCAGTCTGATCAAATTTGGATTTTTATATAACTTTGAGACCCCGGAATATGTAAACTGTGAATTTGTATCTAATTAAGAAAAAACAATGGGAGAACAATACATATTATATACATCTCCTGAAGTAGAAGCCTTATAGTCAGATATTGTAATCTTCATAATATAACATAAAAGCTCAACATAACATGATAAGAGCTCAGGTGTCGCCTTTCATTAACATGTCTGTATTTATATATTAATAGAAACTCCATACATTTTTTTCCTCAGGTTCTGCCACCTGAATGTCACATTAACCCTGTATAATTGCAGAATCCTCTTTTCTCTCCGAGACTGCATCTATAAATATGGGAAGATCATCTATACTTCTTATACAAGGAGCTTGATAATTAATGTAATAATTGATGTATCTTGGAGTACTGTTAACCATATTTTTGAGGGTAGTGTAAGACATACCCTAAACCTAAAGGGTACTGAATGATAATCACTTTGAAAATTCAGAATCTAGTACATCTAGACTCTTTGAAATCGTAACAGAAAATATTCTATAAACCCAAGTTTTTTCTGTCTTTATCTGCGTAGATTCAGTCAAAGATTAACAGTTTTCTTTTGAGACTTGATTACACCCAACATGCATCTGTTTTTCTGTTTCATTGTTTTGAAGAAGTATTTGCACAAACCTTTGTTGAATATATTGCCATTTTACATGCAGCCATTCTGTTAAAACCAAATTGATTCACTTTGATTTCTTGCTCTCTGTCAGGCCATGTCAGTCAACAATATATCATAGCGTCATTATTTAAGATTAGACAATTTTGAAATTGCTTGAATAATTTTTATTCAAATAATAACAATTGCTTGAATAATTTTATTCAGGTCATTTTAAAATTGCCAAATCTTGCATGGGGTTGACAGTGCTTCATTTGGGAGAATCTAAGAAGGGGTGAATAACAAAAACATTATATTCAGTAGTATTGATATTTACTCCTACATAGAATGATTAATTCACTATTTCCTGAGTTTGAAGACAAGGATCATGTCAGGCTACATTATTATGTCACCACCAAAAGTGGTGACATATTGTTATGGTCTCCGTTTTTTTTTATGTCACCACCAAAAGTGGTGACATATTGTTATGGTCTCCGTTTTTTTGCGACGGCGGTTGGTGGTTGGCGGTTGGTGGTTGGCGTCCGGCGTCTGGCGGTTGGCGTCCGGCGTCTGTAACAATTTCTTACAACTTCCTATAACTTAACAAATACTGTTTAGACTGACTTCAATTTTTTTCTAAATCATCAACATGTTCTCAGAAGTTCAAATCTGACTTTAGATTTGACATTTGACCTTCAATGACCTTCTCAAGGTCAAAAAGGTCTTTTTTCAACTTGCTTCACATTGACTAAATTTTTTTTCAAAATCATCTACATGTTCTCAGAAATTCAAATCTGACTTTAGATTTGACATTTGACCTTCAAATCTGACTTTAGATTTGACATTTGACCTTCAATGACCTTCTCAAGGTCAAAAAAGGTCAAAAAGGTCTGTTTTCAACTTGCTTCAAATTGACTAAATTTTTTTTTTCAAAATCATCTACGTGTTCTCAGAAATTCAAATCTGACTTAAGATTTGACATTTGACCTTCAATGACCTTCTCAAGGTCAAAAAAGGTCAAAAAGGTCTGTTTTCAACTTGCTTCAAATTGACTAAATTTTTTTTTCAAAATCATCTACATGTTCTCAGAAATTCAAATCTGACTTTATATTTGACATTTGACCTTCAATGACCTTCTCAAGGTCAAAAAAGGTCAAAAAGGTCTTTTTTCAACTTGCTTCAAATTGACTAAATTTTTTTTTCAAAATCATCTACGTGTTCTCAGAAATTCAAATCTGACTTTAGATTTGACTTAAGATTTGACATTTGACCTTCAATGACCTTCTCAAAGTCAAAAAAGGTCAAAAAGGTATTTTTTCAACTTGCTTCAAATTGACTAAATTTTTTTTTCAAAATCATCTACATGTTCTCAGAAATTCAAATCTGACTTTAGATTTGACATTTGACCTTCAATGACCTTCTCAAGGTCAAAAAAGGTCAAAAAGGTCTTTTTTCAACTTGCTTCAAATTGACTAAATTTTTTTTTCAAAATCATCTACGTGTTCTCAGAAATTCAAATCTGACTTAAGATTTGACATTTGACCTTCAATGACCTTCCTCAAGGTCAAAAAAGGTCAAAAAGGTCTGTTTTCAACTTGCTTCAAATTGACTAAAATTTTTTTTCAAAATCATCTACATGTTCTCAGAAATTCAAATCTGACTTTAGATTTGAGATTTGACATTTGACCTTCAATGACCTTCTCAAAGTCAAAAAAGGTCTTTTTTCAACTTGCTTCAAATTGACTAAATTTTTTTTCAAAATCATCTACATGTTCTCAGAAATTCAAATCTGACTTTAGATTTGACATTTGACCTTCAATGACCTTCTCAATGTCAAAAAAGGTCAAAAAGGTATTTTTTCATCTTGCTTCAAATTGACTAAATTTTTTTTCAAAATCATCTACATGTTCTCAGAAATTCAAATATGACTTTAGATTTGACATTTGACCTTCAATGAACTTCTCAAGGTCAAAAAAGGTCAAAAAGGTCTTTTTTCAACTTGCTTCAAATTGACTAATTTTTTTTTTCAAAATCATATCATCTACATGCTCTCAGAAATTCAAATCTGACTTTAGATTTGACATTTGACCTTTAATGACCTTCTCAAGGTCAAAAAAGGTCAAAAAGGTCTGTTTTCAACTTGCTTCAAATTGACTAAAAAAATTTTCAAAATCATCTACGTGTTCTCAGAAATTCAAATCTGACTTTAGATTTGACTTAAGATTTGACATTTGACCTTCAATGACCTTCTCAAAGTCAAAAAAGGTCTTTTTTCAACTTGCTTCAAATTGACAAAATTTTTTTTTCAAAATCATCTACATGTTCTCAGAAATTCAAATCTGACTTTAGATTTGGCATTTCACCTTCAATGACCTTCTCAATGTCAAAAAAGGTCAAAAAGGTATTTTTTCATCTTGCTTCAAATTGACTAAATCTTTTTTCAAAATCATCTACATGTTCTCAGAAATTCAAATATGACTTTAGATTTGACTTTAGATTTGACATTTGACCTTCAATGACCTTCTCAAGGTCAAAAAAGGTCAAAAAGGTCTTTTTTCAACTTGCTTCAAATTGACTAAGTTTTTTTTTCAAAATCATCTACATGTTCTCAGATATTCAAATCTGACTTTAGATTTGACATTTGACCTTTAATGACCTTCTCAAGGTCAAAAAAGGTCAAAATGGTCTGTTT